ACGATCAAAGTCCAAGCCTATAACGTCCAACATTCCACGAACATAGTATACAGGGTACTGGTCCACAGCACGACACTGCATTTAAGGGTCTGATGTATTATCTTTAAAAATAATGTACCTGGAAAGGAGCTTCAGCAATTAGTTGGAATATATATAAATTAGAATTTTCTTGAACTTCATTAGGTATAGAAAGTAGGTGTGACGGAAAAAGATCTGATTTGTTCGCAAAACTCCGTTTCCTTGCAGAAAGAAGGTCATTTAATGAAATGATGAACCTTGGATCAATTGACCAATTTAAACATAAGAAAATCAACCACTTAAGATTAACAAATATTGCATCTTTACCTTTAACACGCCAAATATCACCCTGTGGGGCTAAATGCCCCCAGAATTGTGCTTTATGTAAATCAATTTGGCTATAACTTTTCAGTGTTGCAATTTTAGGAATTTGATTATCAGAGCCTAGCAAATATGTTAAAATGGAACATTGGTATTTAAATATTTGATTTATGTTCCAACCGAAAATAGTTAACACGCTCTATTAGCCCATTAACTTTAACTATAGGATTCTACTGTCCGGAAATTTTATATAATTTCTACAATAATATTTTTTACTTTTTTTTAAAAAAATATATATATATTTAAAAAAATTATAATATAGCCAAATTTAATAGTTATAAAACCATTGCTAAAATTAATCCCTATCGTCTTTATTTAAAAAAGTTGGCATGGCAGTATTTGTTTTATCCATCTATGGAAAGTTGCTCTTAAGACTAATAAAAGAAGTTTAATTTCAGCAAATGAAGTTCTATAACTTCAAGAAAAATTATTTAAATCACCTTTCTTTTAATATATAATTTCATTTTTAAAAAGTATTTTAAAACTGTAGAAATAAATAAAATGAAAATTCCAACATTAGACCGCTAGTTTTGCAATTAAACTTTTGGGTGGCGCGAAAGGAAAATCAGGCTTTTGGTTTTCAAGTTTATCATTTGAGTGCCGCCAAGGGAAAATGTCCCTCTGTAAATTATAATATATTATTGATTATTATCTGATTCAGCCCTTCTGAT